ATAATAAATGATAGACGAAAGTGGTAACTAGATGCTAGTCACCTAGTCCCTGAATTATCACCTAATTAACAGTGGACAATTACAAACATTTTCACCTTTTTAATTTTATAATGTTTGCGTACTTTAATCAATTTATGTTCACTTCATTCACTTTAGCCAATATACAATTAATTTCATTGCATGCTCCTCTGCATGATAAATTTGTACGTCACATCAAGGTTTATTCGTCTTTCCCCTGTGTCTTTATTTCGCCAATCCCAACTCACTGATGAGCTCCGGGGATTGACGAAATAATAAGGTTCGTCTGAGGAAGGAGCGAAACGAACCGCTTTAATTATTTTGTTTATAATGGATTTTCTTCTTTTTTAATTGGCACTGGAAGTCGCAGAAAGGCATAACACGTTGACGACAGCGTGACGCGGTAACGCGTCCCACTTTGCGCACCTCGTGGGACATTGTGACGCGGTAACGCGTCCCACCCAAGTCATCCCTTTTTCTTGCGCTTGTGCGACTTATTCCTAAGGTCTTTGTACTCATTCTATAGGTCATATTAGCATACTTAAAAACCACATGGCTCACAGAAAAAGGCCAAATATTCTTTAGTTTGGCAGAGGTTTTCCAGACCTTACGGATATGTCTGTTCAGTTCATTCCTCGTTTTCTTTTCATTAACGTAACATGTTGATAAAAAGGAATAATAGAAGTGAATACAAACCTATTCGTATGGGAAGATATGTTTTACTGAAACAACCACGTCCAAATTAATTTTGGAACCACTAAAGGGAAAGTAAGTAAAATTTGCCTTTTCATGGCCTTAACACGTCATTTCGGTCGAACTTCCATTACTGTAACTCCCGATAAGTTAGACAGATCGAACATTATTGAAAACACTTCATCGCATCTAAGTATTGCGTATTTACAGCTCAAAATCCATGGATTTGGTGTGCGGCGGCGGCGCTCGCAAAATCGCTCTGGTCCCACGCGGTGCAAAAACACAAAACGCGCGATGTCGTCAACGTGTTAAAATACCATGCACTGCTTTAGCGTTGATCAAATCGACAAATGCTTTTCATGATGGGCCAACTAACCTACCTCGGAAATGCATTTCCGCCGATGAACATAGACCCGATCTCGGGAAAGCCGACGCTACTACACAGAGATGCCAAAACAGAATATATCGCCCAGATCCTCTCATTCCTC